CTCTGATGACTCGTGCTCGCGCCTAGTCGCGTCCATCTCGCGGATGGCGGCTAGCGTCTCCTGGTAAGAGCCCTTGGTTCGCATCTGGACCGCCATCAACTGAGTGCCGCGCTCGTCCAGGCCAACTCCCTCTTCCAGGAACATATATTTCCAATCGTCGGGTAGAGGAAGGCCCAGGGTGCCGACTTTGTCGAAAACCAAATCCAGCCTCGCCGCGTACTCAGTGAGTCATTCTCATTGCTTGCGTTAAAACGAGAAGAGACACTCTCATCCTGCCTTGCATTTTTCATCTCCGACCCTCTCTCCTGAAAGCCAATCTAGTCTAGCTATGACTTTGTCTGCAGCGCTGTCCGAGATCAAATCATCATCCGTGATGTCCACTAGCTTGCGCTGAAGGTCGATCGGCAACAGCTTCATGATGCGGTCCGCGTGATTGTGCGTCTCCACATCTGTGGTTTGCCTCCAGCGCATCACTTTTCTTCTCCAAAGCTTGAACTCCGGCCATCCGGGCCGCGCCTCTGGATCGGCGAAAGCCTTCCCGCGGGGCTTCTCGTCGTTCTTCCACTTCTCTGGGCTCGACTGACCGCCCCACTTGCCTTCGTTCCAAGACCAGCTCTCCCAGCTACTGTAATTCCATCCGTCGGACCTGTCGTTCCAGCCGTCGGAGTAGTCCCTCCAGCTGCTGGACTTGTCCTTCCAGCCGTCTGATCTGCGTGACTGGTCCCATGGGTCTTGTCCTTCCTGCTGCCATGGATCTCGATCTCTCTGGCGTGCTGGACTGGCGTCGGCTGCGTCGCCTATTGCTCCACCACGCCGATGAGTTCCACGACTTCTCGTCCCTCTCCTCTTGGCCGCCCTTGGTGATGCTTGCGTCCGCCGTGGCCTTTGAGCTTTCACCCTGACCGGCACTCGACGCTGCTATCGCCATGAGACTTCTGGCCTGCTCGAGGAACGTGCGCATCTGCTCCATCGTGATCTGGAACTGTCCGTCCTCAGTCTGCCATTACTGAGCGATCCCTATCACTTGCTCGATAGATTCCAGGCGACTGTTCCGATTTTCGTCGTTAGAATTATCACCATTCTCCGATCCCGTCATGACGTCCGCAGATCCACGGTAGCGTCCTCGGACGCTCCGAAACCACTGTTCCCCTGACGATGACGTTGACGGAGGCAACGGTGCTCTCGTCCCGGCGAAATCCCCTCGGATCGGCAATTCCCAGGCTTTCGTCTATCAGCACAATGACCCTCCAGGAGGATCTGGGGGAGGGTGGCTGTGAAAGATATGGGGGATGAGGGTAGGTCGGATCGGGCTTGGCTTGTGAGAAAGGACTTGGGCCAAAGTGGTTACGGACCGGCCCTCTCCCCTGTAAGCGCTATCAAGCTCAGGACTTTGGGGGGCTCACCAGAGTCACTCGACAGAGGCACTCGATCGTACACTCCTGGGGGCGGGGCCCCAATTGAGTACCCCCCTTCTTTAATCGAACTCCTCCAAAATGGCCCCCAGGACGGCCCCCAAGGCTTCCAAGGATGCCCCAGGAGGGCCCCAAGAGGCGCCCGGGAAGCCCCGAGAGGCCCCGAAGAGGTCCGCAAGAGGCTCCCAAGAAGCCCCCAAGAAGCTCCCCCGAGGCACCCACGACGCTCAGAGAGGCTCCATGGACCGCCAAGAGGCCCTCAAGACGCCCATAGAGGACTCCAAGACGCTCTCAAGAGACATCCGAAGAGACTCCGAGAGGCATCCAAGAGGCCACTTGCCTTTCTGCTCGCCCTCCTGGTCCTCCTTCTCCTCCTCCCCCTCCCCCTCCCTCCTCCTCCTCCTCCTCCTCCTCCTCCTCCTCCTCCCTCCTCCCTCCTCCTCCTCCTCCTCCTCCTCCTCCTCCTCCTCCTCCTCCTCCTCCTCCTCCTCCTCCTCCTCCTCCTCCTCCTCCTCGTCGTCGTCGTCGTCGTCGTCGTCGTCATCATCATCATCATCATCATCATCATCATCATCATCATCATCATCATCATCATCATCATCATCATCATCATCATCATCATCATCATCATCATCATCATCATCATCATCATCATCATCATCATCATCATCATCATCACATCATCATATCATCATCATCATGATCATCATGATCATCATGATCATCATGATCATCATGATCATCATGATGATCATGATCATGATCATGATCATGATCATCATCATGATCATCATCATCATCATGATCATGATCATGATCATGATCATGATCATGATCATGATCATCATCATCATCATCATCATCATCATCATCATCATCATCATCATCATCATCATCATCATCATCATCATCATCATCATCATCATCTTCATCTCCTCCATCATCATCCGCCCATTCCTCCCTCCTTCCTCTCCCTCCCCCATCCTCCCCCTCTTGGGGTATGACTGCTTCCCCAATCCCTTATTCCATTGCCTGCTCGTCCACATCCCTGAAAAGGGCAGCATCTTGGCATCGTTTCTGGATGGGCTGGTGGCACCAGGCTGGTGGGTTACGCGAAGCGTCTAGGATCACTCCTGGGAGGCTTTCGTAAGAATGACGAAGGGCTACCGAGCCCGATTTGAAAGCCATTGAGCTGGATTGGGTCAGATCGAGCTGGGCTGGGGAGCAAGCCAGATCCAACCAGACGAAGCAAGATTCAACGAGATCGTGCTGGAGTGGGCAGATTTTCGACCTCGGATTATACTACCACTGCCGACGCTGATTTCACCATCCCAGGAGCTTCATCCCAGCACTAGGGAGGCCTTCTTAGATTCTAGGCCGGAAGGCCGCAGGGCGACGGCGCGGCCGGCGGCGGGGCGCGGGGAGGCGCGCTGAGCCCCCCGCCGCAGCCCCGCGGTGGCCCCGAGAACGACGGGACGCTGTACTCCTGCAGCCGGCCCGCCTCGGGCGAGGACGGGCGGACGGACCACCGCATTTTAGGCGAGCCTGTCCCACTGCGGGGAGGGGTGGAAGAGCACCGTGGCGCTGCTCTGCTGCATCCTGCACAACTCAGCTTCCCATCTCCGCCATGCCGGCGCGTCACGAGCATACTCGCACCAGTTCAGCGGCGTGGCTGCCAGTCCACGAGAACATAGAAAATCACAAATTGCAGAGTAGAGGGTAGAGGGCGAGGGCAGAGGGCAGAAAATCCACCCCGACAATAACAACCCCGACACGCGAAGCCGTTTCGTAAACGCACCCAAAGAAGGAATCAAACAGGGCAGGGCCGCTTCGTAAACTCCCAAGGCTGTTTAGTAAACGCCAACTGTCCGGTCTGGGTGGTTTTCCCTCCCTTGAGAGGGGGATGCTTAAACGGCAAATTCGGGGTGCACGGTCGTGGGGGCCGAGCGTCCTGACAGTGGTTCGTGCTGTTGGTCCTGAGCTTGCGCCGACCTCGTACCAATATCAAGACCACGGCGCTCTGGCCACGCACCGGCAGGCCCGCGCGCACCCCGCGCGCGCGCGACCTCATGAGCCTTCCAGCAAAAGAGATATGATGAGCGAGCAACACACACCCATACCCATAGGGGGGTCGTTGAGAGGAGGACTGGCTATGGGTATGGGTGCGGGTTGTCGGACCCTAGGGAACGCTCCCGTTCGAGCGGGCACCCCCATCCAACAACACGCACCCATGGCCCTCTCCGACCCCCCTCTGGGTACGGGTGTGTGTTGTTGGTTCGTCAAGATACGGCCCCACGAGAGCATGCTGCCCGGATGCTTCCACGCGCGAGCGGGGGCAACAGCACGGCATCGCCAGGGGCGCCCGGAAACGCATAGGAGAAGGAGGAGGAGGAGGAGGAAGAGGAGGAGGAGGAGGAGGAGGAGGAGGAGAATGAGGAGGAGGAGGAGGGGGAGGAAGAGGAGAATGAGGAGAATGAGGAGAGCCAGGACGGCCCCATGGGCCGCCCTGGGAATCCCTTGAGGGCCCCTTGCGGATCGATCGCAGCGCGCGCCTGTTGCAAGTCCACCTCGCTCGCAAGGCCCACAACTCAGCGCGAGAGCACGGAAGATATTGCGACTGCGTCGTTCGTTCGTGGTTGCGCGGGCGCGAGGTCAAGTGTAACTCGGTTTTTGTTGGAACACTGCTGTAAAGGAGCAACACAGAAACGTACCGAAACGTACCATTAAGTTACAATCAAATCTTATCGCAGCTCTACCTTGGCATTCCCTACGATTGAACGCATGTGCGGGGGTGGTCGGTGCCTGGGTGCCTGGGCAATTAGGAGCCCCGAGACTCCCACTTCCGACTAAGCTAATGTGGGCCGAGCTGAGACCATCCTTCCTTCTCTCCCTACCTCCCCTCCCTCCCTCCCTCCCTCCTCTCCTTCCCCTCCCCTCCCTCCCTCCCTCCCCTCTCCCCCTCCTCCCTGTGCCTTTCTTGGTTCCGCGCACGGCTTTTTCGCAAGACGATCCAGGATGCTCCTTCACAATTCCAGCCGAGAAAATTTGGACGTCCGAAATGGGTACGGAAAAAATGGGCACAATGCCCAAGAGCAAATGTTGTCCCAAACCAACAGCGGCCGCTGTTGGGCAGGCGGCCTTCTGTGTCAAATGGACACACGCCGCGGTGGCGCGGACAACGAGTCCTGTCCAAAATGAGCAGGAACCGCTGTTGGACATTGTACCCATTCTTTCCGTCCCCATTTCGATCGTCCCGATCTAGGGCGGTTCCCATGACACCTCGCTCGCGCTGCACAAGCGCATCCATGAAGCGCCCACAACGTCAGACGCCAAGAAGATGCTAGAGAAATCCCTACCTCTTCCCCTTCGGGGCGGGGCTCACCACTGTTCCGTCTTAATATACACCCCCTCCCCCACCCGGCTGGCAGCCAACCCGGAACAAAAAGGACCCCCCTATGAGGGCCCCCCACCACCATCCTTGTCCAAAACAATACAAAGCGCACTCTGCCGCCTCATTTGGAGCATGCGCGGCCGCCCCGCGACCATTTTGTATTGACGGCTGGGGTGCCAGCAGATCCCGCCTGCCTTCTGGGCGCAGGTGGTCGACCGACTGGTTTGACGCATCAGTGGCTGCTGCCTTTTCACACTATCGATTTCGATGTGCTTTCGGAACCACCAAATGGCCCCAACATTGGCGAAGACAGCTCATAGCAGTGCCCAATAGGCTTCCAAACTGGCCCCAAGAACGCCCCAAATTGGCGCCACGAGAGCGCCAAGAGGCGGTTCGAGGGCCCCAAAAGGGGAGGCCTCCAAATCCGCCGACCCTGTCGGCGTGTGCGGGGGGCTTGGCTGTTCGAGTCGTCGTCTCCGTCGGTCGTCGCCTCCGTCGTCCCCTTTCCCTGCAGCTTCCTTCTCAAGGTCGTGAGCGAGAGAAAAATCCGCCGACCCTGTCGGCGTGTGTGAGGGGCTTTTCCGTTCGAGCCGTCATCTCCGTTATTCTTTGTACTCGTCGTCTCTGTCCTGCGCCCCAGCCGCCCGAGCCGCGCCCGAGCCGCTCGAGCCAAGCCGACCTTGAGCAACGTCGTAATTCAGTCGAAGGGAAGCCCCTTCCCTTTGATCCCTCCCCCGCCGGGAGGGGGGGGGGTAGCGACCCCCCCCCCGGGTCAGATACGACGCCCCCCCCCCCGTACCGACCTTGAGCAACGTCGTAATTCAGTCGAAGGGAAGCCCCTTCCCTTTGATCCCTCCCCCGCCGGGAGGGGGGGGGGGTAGCGACCCCCCCCCCGGGTCAGATACGACGCCCCCCCCCCGTACCGACCTTAAGCAACGTCGTAATTGAGTCGAAGGGAAGTCCCTTCCCTTTCCCTTCCCCAACGGGAAGGGGAGGGGGGATCCCGGGGGGGGTCCCAGGGCAGTCCCGGGGAAGTCCCGGGTCAGATACGACACCTCCCTCCCCCACCTTCTCGTCCTTCTCCCCGTTCCCCAAAACCATCCCACAGCCCGTGCCTCTTGCTGCGCATTGCGAACAGGGTCGGCGGCACCGGCCTTAAGGCCTTCGCAATCTAGCAGTGTCGTAATCGAGTCGAAGGGAAGCCCCTTCCCTTTGATCCCTTCCCCAGGGGGGGGGGGTCCCGAGGGTGGGTGGGGGGGGGGTGAGGGGGCAGATTCGTTTTTCCTCGGGCGGCCTAGAACACTCGACAACACTCCAAATGAGGTCCGAATGCCCAACATGGCCCCCGAGACGGCCCAAGAGGGCCCGGAGTCGCCCAAAGATCGGCCGAAAACGCCCAAGATAGCCCCAAGACCGTCCAAGACGCCTCCGAGACGTCCCAGGCCCCCTCCAAGAGACCCACAGGAAGCCCCAAGAGGCTTCCAAGCGGCCCCTAAGAGCTTCCCAAGAGGCCCACAAACTACCCCCAAGAGGCACCCAAGAGCGCTCGTCGTCGTCGTCGTCGTCGTCGCCATTCAGGGTCGGCGGCACCGGCCGCAAGGCCTTCACAATAGATGGCCCAACAGAGGTCCAAGCCGGGCCCACGAGGCCTCCAAGACGGTCCGAAGAGCGCCCCGAGGTGGCCAAAAAAGGGCCGCTAGAGGCTTAATTTGGGCCCCTGAAGAGGGGGCTACCCCCAAATAAAGGGGGGCTGAACGTCCCCCTCTTGTGTTTGATCGATTGCCTCCAAAATGGCCCTCAGAGGCGCCCCATGGCTCCCATGAGGGCCCCAGGAATGACGGCCCAAGAGACGACCAGAAACCCCGACCACGAGGCCGCAGCATCGAAATCCGACTAAGCTCTTGCAAGCAACCGGTTCTATGAGTTCTGGTGGATCAAACGGGAAGCCACAAGAACGGGACCTGGACTCCAGGGGCGCCAGCAAGGCCAGGTTTTCAACCAGCCTTGTTGGCGCCCTGGCACGTGCCGCGCCTGGCGCGCCTGGCACGCTTGGGCCTCCAGGGTCTGGTGCATCTAGAACCTGTGGCGTCTGCGGCACTCTTGCGCGACATGCTGACATCTAGGTGCTACTGATGTGTTGGGAGAGCGGGCGGGAGTGAGCAAGACGGCTTGCGGGCGGGTGGGTAGCTTGACCCGTCCACCTAACTACCCCCTCCCCTGGGCCTGGGAGGAGGGGGGCGCGGGTAGTTGGAGCGCCCAGTATGGCCCAACATGGCTCCAAGAGGGCCTCAGAGAACCCAAAATGACTTCCAAGACGGCCCAATACAGCTCAATATAACACTAGATGGTTCAAGATGGCTCGCAAGATGCTCCAGGAAGCCCCGAGACCGCTCCAAAACGGCTCAAAGTGGCCACGGAACCTCCTCAGGAGGCAACCAAGAGGCCTAAATCCGCCAAATACCAAAAGAAAAAACGATGCTTTGTGCTTTCTCGCATTTTCGCTTCCGATGGCCTTCCGAAGCCTCAAAACAGCTCCAAGAGAGCCCCTGAAGGCCCCAAGAGAGGCCCAAGAGAGTCCCAAAACTGCCCCCAAAGCGCCCAATAGTGCTCCAAGAGTGATTTCTGGGGCTCCCGAGGGGGGACCCTAATTGAAACTCGCTTCTTTTTTATAGATGTCTCCCAAGATGGCCTCAAGAGCGCTCCCCAGGCTCCCAAAAGGCGCCCCCAAGAGGCGCCCAAGACGCTTCCAAGAGGCTCCCTAGAGACCCCCAAGAGGGCCCAAGAGGCCCCCCAAGGCACCCAAGGCGCTCCAAGAGGCCCCGGGACAGCCAGGAGGCCCCCAAGACGCCCCAAGAGGCCTCCACAAAGCTTCCAAGAGGCATCCGAGGAGACTCTGAAAGGCAAATCGCCTGGGCATCGTTTCTGGATGGGCTGGCGGTGATATTTTTGTGGGAACGCGGGCGCGCGAGACGGGTCGAACGCTGGGCTAGAAGGGGCAGGCTATGCCACCAGCTGCGGGAAACAAGCAAAGGGTAGCGCCCGGTGCGGGGCGGAACTCAGGCGGCCGAAATGGCGCGAGGGCGACGCGCGGAAGGTGCCAAAGGAGAAGACGAGCCAGGTCGAAGGCGGCGAGAGATGAACCAAGCGCCACGCAAAAGAGCGTGGCGATGCCGAGAAGAAAACGACCTCCAGGCCACGCGCGGGCGGGGACCAGGGAGAACACCACGACCTCCAGGCGGCGGCCGCACCAGGACCCCCCCAGAAGTTTGAGGGCACCCGACGGCACGGGCGGCGTAGACTGTCACGAAGAAGGCGACCTCCAGGTCCGCGGAAAACCTTCGCGCAGATGAGGGCCGCGCGGAAGACCCAGAAAGCGGACGGGCCACGGCCGCTCCGGGACCACCTCGAAGAGCCAGGCCCCCCAAGCGCAGGGGCCGCGTGGGCCGTCGCGAAAATAACCAGGAGTGCTCCAGGCAGGGGAGCGCGATGGCGGCGGCCCAGCAACGCGACCAGCCATCACGGCGCCCCACGCGCCACGACCTGGAGGCAGTTGAGTGACCGGCACGCCGAAGCCGTGCAGGAGGGTGCGGAGCGCCACCACAGCGGGCACCCCGCGCGGGGAACAGCGGGCGGCCTGCAGCGCGGCGGCCACCGGCCCGAAACGAGCTTCGCCAGGGAGACCGCGCCGTCGACGCCTTAAGCGGATGAGGGGGCTCCTGGCGGGATCAGCAGCAAGTCCATGCCGAGCCCCACCACGGTGAATCCTTGTGGCCATCACGAGGATGAGGGACAAGTGGGCGCCGACAGCGCCAGCATTCCGGCAGCGCGCCAGCCGCCAGCCGCCAGCGGCAGCTGCGACAGTTCATAGGAGGCAGCCAACCCAGTGGCGGACGTCCAGCGCCCTGGCCACGTGGGGCCCGCAGCGATTGCGCCAACCCCAGGTGCCAATGCGGGGCAGGACTCGGAGAGACACCTGCCAGAAGATTTCCCAGGCGAGGAGCGGGACCAGGCGGCTGATCACCGCCGATGCAGGAACAAGGAGGACTGGGGGCGGCAGCTGATCGCGGCAAATGCATAGAGAAAGGATGCAGTGGTTACCCCAGGCAGAGGCGTATCCCAGGCGATGCGCTGCCCCAGTCAGCGGGGGCAGAGATCGAAGTCGACGAGACAGTCGTCCGCAAGCAGGATGCGAATCACAACCAAGTCCAGCGGCAGGAGTCCGTCGGGCTGACGAGGCGCAGGGACCGTTCCAACTTGCATTTGGCGAAGAGGTCCGCTGCGGCAAGCGTATTGTCCCGCGCAGCAATGACGGGGCGGGCGGCGCCGCCGCCGATGAGCAAGGCGGAGTGGGCCCAATTGCAGAAGGAGCGGGTGGGCAATGTAGTCTGGTGCACTCAGATGGCGCGCCCGCCTACGCTGCTTTCAAAGAAGGCGTCTACCACGATTCGGTGCCGCACTCGGGCCGCCGCGGCGCCATCTACGCCGCGAAGCGGATACACGCGGTAACCGCGCATGCCAAGGCGGAAAAGCCCGCGACCTGGGAGTACGTCGCGCAGGGCGGCACGCAAGGGCTGGACGGCTGGTGGAGGTCTGCCAAGCAGAACTCGCAGAACCGGAAGGCGTGCGACGAGGGGCGCGTCACCGAGAGGGCGCGCGAGGCGCAGCGGTGGCACGAGTTCGGGGCGCGAGACCGCTGGACGGCGGCGGGCGAGGTGATCTCCTGCGTCCCGCAGTGATGGGGGGGGGCACCGAGGGCATTGGGAGCGTTTCGGCGCGGCGGACGTTGCCAGGCGCGCGGGTGGGATGGGGGCGGGGGCACGCTTGTGCCCAACTAGACATCGCGGGGGTTGCGATGACAGGAAAACAATTGCCACCTGTTGTCGAAGGGAGGATGTGATGAGGAACGCAGAGCGAGGGAGACGAGAGAGGAGGGGAGGGCAGGGGACGCCACCAGCGGGAACACGCACACGCAACACGAACCCCCCTCAAAAACAACGCTCGAAGTAGATCTTGGGGCGGGGCCCAGCCCTCTTTTACTCCTCCTGTTTCTCCTCCTCCAACTCCCCCTCCTCCTGCTCCAGGAGGCACGTTCGCCTTGGTGCCGACCCAATACTGGTTGTCGCCGAGCCCCTGCCCGTCGGCCGAGCTCAGGACCACGTGCGCCGTGCCGCCGCTTCTCAGGACGATGCGCCGGAACCTGTCTTGTTGTTGTTGCTTCTCACCGCGCGCTTGTTTCTGTGAGTGGCCCAACGTTGCGGCCAGCAGTGGGCCTGCTCCCCCACCCCCTGATGACACAGCGTTCGGCGCCGCTGGCGGGGCCTGGGAAGAATCCTGGCAATATTGACTTTATTCCTAGCCATTCCTGAGGACCCCGCGGGCGCAAACCGTTACGTCACCGCGCCCTTCCCCGCCCTCCCTTCAGGGCCTCCTAAGCAGGGATTTTGGTGGACCAGGACGCTGGTGCGCGTGAGAAAATGGCAGCCTCGAAACAATCTCCATTACTCGTGGTCCCCAGGTGGGATTTTCAAAGGCCTGGCTAGCAATGAAATAATTTAGAAAACTCTGACTCCCAATGCCGCCCATTGCGCCGGGAAGACGGAACAACAACTTGCCACTGTGGGAAACGGCTGATCCATCCTTCCTTCCGCCTGCTTCCCTCTCTCTATTCCCTCCTCCCTCACCCTCCGTCCTTCCTCCTCCTTCCTCCCCCTCCTCCTCCATCCTCCCTCCTGCATCCTGCACCCCTCCCAGAAGGAAGGACTGCGAGGGAGAAGGGGGGAAAAGGAGGAGGAGGAGGAGGAAAAGGAGGAGGAGGAGGAGGAGGAGGAGGAGGAGGAGGAGGAGGAGAAGGGGAGGAGGAGAGGAGGAGGGAGGAGGGAGGAGGGAGGAGGGAGGAGGGAGGGAGGAGGGAGAGGGAGGGAGGAGGGAGGAGGGAGGGAGGGAGGAGGGAGGGAGGGAGGAGGAGGAGGGAGGAGGAGGAGGAAGGAAAGGTGGGAGGAGGAGGAAGAGGAGGAGGAGGAGGAGGAGGAGGAAGAGGAGGAGGAGAACGGAGAAGGGAGGTAGGAAGGCAAATCACGTGGGAGGCCTCTCGGGCGAATGCCCCTGAGCAATGCTATTACAAGTATGACGTCAAACGCGTGCTGACGCCAGCGCGTGCTGGTCCACGGGGGGCCTCGCTCGGCACGCGGAGCGCAGAGCAGAGGTCACTCCCAAGGCCGGCCGCAGCCCCCTTTTTGCGGCCAAGCCAGGCGGCAGCTGCTGGAGGGGGGAGGGGGGGGGCGAGGAGGGACCGGGACAAGGAACAAAAACGGCGAACATGCAAGGAGAGAGAGAGAGAGAGAGAGAGAGAGAGAAGGGAGGAAGCAGCAAGCAAGCGAGCAAGCAGGCAGACGCACGTTGGAAAGGCGGGGGGCGGGGGGCCTGCGTCGGCGGCGGTCGGGGTCGCCGTCGGCGGCGGTCGGGGTCGCCGTCGGCGTGGGTGGCGGCGGCAGGGTGGTCGTCGTCGGCCAGGAGCGGAGGGCGGGAGCATGTGCGGCGGGGTGGTCGTCTGAGGCGGCGGGGTTGGCGTCGTCAGCCAAGCGCGGGGGCCTGACTACCTACCAGACCACCCCAACCCAACCCGAAGGCCCGAATTTCGGGTTGGGGGGGTAAGGGTTCCATACGTGTTTTTCCCACGTTCCTGGACCCCCCCCCACTAGAAATCGAGGGTAAATCTGAGCCTTCGGGTTGGGTTGGGGTGGTTTGGTGGGTGGTGAGGGCCGGGGGCGGGGGCGGGGGCGGCGGGCCGTCGGCCAGCGGCCTTCGCGGCGTCCGCCGCCCGCGCCGCCGTCGCCGCGGCCAGCCGGGCTGGCGGCGCCGTGCGTGGGGCCTGCAGCCTGTGGAGGACGGCCCGTGCGTTCTCCCTGTGCAGGAGAAGCGAGAGTCGCGGGGCGTGCTCCGCCGCCACGAGGGCGGGGTCGCCCCCTGCGGCGTCAGCCGCGCGCTTCGCCAGGACGGCAAACGCGCGGCGCGCCTCCTTGCCCCAGGCACCGCCGTGGCCTAATTACATGGGCGAAGGTGGCGCCGGCCGCACTGCAGCTGCGCGCCGCGTCGAGGAACTGGCGCCCGCGTTCCTCGCAGCGCTCGGCGGCAGCGCCGGGCGAGGCAGCCGAGGCTGCAAGGAGGTCGCCCAGCAGCCCGGAAGCGACCGCAAAGTCAAGGGCGACGGGGGCTCCGTTGCGCCAGCGGGGCATGCGCACATCCGCTGTGCGCTGGCCGCTCTCGTCGAGCTCGCAGCCGTTGGCCTTCGCCCCGGGCGGGCCCTCCCCTCGCTCGCGGGGCCGCAGCAAGCCCGGCCGCAAGCCTCGTCGCGGAGGGCGTCGCGCCGCTTCGCGCGGCCCTCGCGGCGGGGGCGCGCCAGCGCGCGGCCCCCGCAGACGTCCATGACGCCGTCGCAGGCCAGGCAGAAGGGCCCCCTCGCTCGCCAGCTGCACCCGCAAGCGCCTCTGCAGAGCGACCTGCATCAAGCCGCGCGGGAAGGCCGCGCCGACCTCGGCGCGGAGCCGCGCCTGCAGCCGCAGCCGCAGGCGCCCTCCGCGCTCGCCAGCGCGAGGTGGGCCCTGATGGCGATGCCGGCGCTTTCCCAGAGTTCGGCCTTGGCGGATTCGCCCAGTTTGTCAGGGAAGCCCCGCTGGTCGCGGCGCTGGCCGGCGTCGAACTCAATCCTGTCCGCCTGCGGGAGCTGGGCTTTGTAGGATCTCCCCGCCGCGCCCAGGGCGCCGTCGGCGCCTGCGTCGTCGTCGGAGTTGCAAGCCCAGCGCTGCCGGCAGAGTGCAGAGCAGGCCGCGCGGAGGGCCAGGAAGGCGGCAGGCGCGCGCTGCTACGGCGAGCGCATCCCCAACTGCCTCGGGGGCGAGCTGCGCCTGCGCCCAGGAATCATCCATGGTGGGGCCGTCTGTAACTTGCTCGTGGCTAGCGCGCTGCATCGTCGAGGGCACTCGGCACTTCCGTTTGCACGGTGGGCAGGGCATCCCGCGCCAAGTAACTGAATCTGCAGCGCCCAACGCATTGTCGCAGCAAATGTAGCGCAACCTGGGCGTTCTCGCGTTCGCCGAGTGCCTCGAGGAGCTCGGTGGCCTCGTCGACTCGCTGCTGGACGCGCTCGCGAAAGAAGGCGTCGCCGCCGACCGCCCGCGCGCAGGCGAAAGCCTGGCGGGAAAGCCCGCGGGCCCACCTCGCTGTCATTGCCGCCAGCGAAGACAATTTCGCGCATCCTGGGCCCCGTGCTCAAGCGGAGCCCCAGGGCCGCCAGCTCTCCCACCAGCAGGTGGAGGAGGCACGCCACGGCGCGCCAGTCGCCCGCCAGGGCGCCGTCGCCCAGGAAGAAGAAGGTCAAGTCCAGGGCGCCTTCGGTCGCGGAGGCGGGCTGGCGGGGCGCCCTCTCAGCAGCGCGCTGCAGCTCCAGGGACAGGAACAGCGGTCCCAGGGGGCCCCTGCGGCGCGCCGCATTCCGAGCAGATCGAGCGCCGGCCAAGCCAGGGCAGGGAATGGGGCCAGTAGCACTGGGGCGGCCAGGGCGCCAGAGCGGGCAGCTCCTCGCACGCCGCTTGCAGGAGGGCTTGGCGGTCGAGGGCGTTGAAGGCGTTGCGTTGCCCAGGTCAGGCTTACCAAACACCTTCTGCCTGCTGCCAGCGCGGCGCGTGAACCACTGTCGGGACACGCGAACCGCTGCCTCGCAGCCGCCAGGGAGGGCGACGCCCACCTGCGATGGGGGCGAAGCGGTCTCGGGCGGCGTCGAAGACCTGGATGCAGTGGCGCTTCGCCACCAGGCGCCGCGCTGTCTCCCCCGCGGCCACCGGTTGAAGGCCGCCGTCCTTCTTGGGCAGGGCCACCGCCGAGGCGCCAACCAGGTAGTTCGCCGCGCCAGGGGGGGCACGGCCCTTCGCGAGGAGGTTGCGAGGCCGATCAGCTGCTGCAGCACCTCGTCGCGGCGGGCTGCCGTCTGCAGCGCGTCCTTGAAGCTTTGCGGTCTCAAGCCGGAGTGGCCCCGAGCGGAACCCCGAGGGAAGGCCCGCACCTCGCGCTCGGGCAAGGCAGCGTCGAACCGCGGCACCGCCGCCGCGTTGGCAGCGGGGGGGCTGGTGGCGTCTACTGGTCGCTGGCCACGAGGGTGCTTATGGTTCATCTGCTCCAGCGCTGCCTCGGTGACCTCCGCCGGCGGCTCGCTGGGGAGCGTCGAGTAGCTCTTGGAGTACTGCGCGTCCGCCGCGAGCTCCAAGCAGCGCTGCGCTCTGTGGGCCGCGCGGGAACGCTTCGCGGTGCCCCGCCGGTCCACGGTCTCTGCCCACGGAGAAGCGCGCTCTCCCTTCAGCCATCGATGGCGAAGGTTGCTGGTCAGAGCTTCTGCCGCGCCCCTGCTGCCGCGGCCACCGCGCGCGTGTGGGCGGAGGGCGCACTTGGGCAGCATGGCGAACTGGAGCCAGACCACCCCGGTGTTCTGGTGCGCGGCGAGAGCCGCCGCCTTCGCCACCTGAAGGCCCTCGGCCTTACTAATTGTTAGCAGCACATGTAAGTAGGTTATAAGTAAGTTGCAACTAGGTTGCAAGTAAGTTATAACCATTAGTAATGTTACTAAGTCGGCTAACTCGGGCGGTGCATTTGGAGGTAGATAGCTTGAGTTAGCGAAGTTGCTAACTTCGCTAACTTTTACATGCTTACGTGAAAACAGAGCTGCTGCATCGGGTTTTCCTTGGATGTTGCCTCCAGAAACGCATGCATGTGTTTGGATTTTCGGGATCACGCATATCGGAAATCATGATCCAGACTTGCGTGCGAACGCATTCAGAATATTGTATCGAGCGTTACAAGAATGTTGTGCATTGCAAATGCAACATATCATTTCGAATTCGCAACCCTCTGTTGCACATGTTTTTGAATGTCACTAGAGTTTGGGCTCCAGCCGTTTGGGCGAGGATTGCTGCTGGCGCTTGTGGCGTCCTCCTGCACGCGGCGTGATGAACGCCTCCCGTGAACAGCAGATCGCGGAGGTCCGCCCCAAGATGATGGCCATCAAGGACATGTACTTGCATCCTGATGCAGCGGTGGTCTCATTACTTGAAGACGTATGCAGCATTGCAAGAGGCATAGACTGCCTGAGGGTAGAAAAAAACACACTCGAAGTATATGATGGTGTGCACAGAGAATCGTTACGGAGATGGA